CAATATCCAAGTAAAGTGCAATACACTAAAAATACAGATAATTTGAAATATTTTTACTGTCAATATCTTCATTAATAGTTTGCTTTTAAAGGACTGCATTTGAGAGCAGTTTACAGATCATTACACAACTATGTGTTCTAAAATTGTATTTTAGACTAGCATTCTAAATTCATCACATTTCTCTTTAGAGAGAAAGAACAATTTTTTGTTTAAAAAAGGTTTAACAAAGTGCTTCATATCTCTAACAGTATTAGAAATTTTTAAAAAGTGAGGAAAACATTCTTTTGAGAGCCCTAACATAGGAATTTGCTAAATAGCACCAGCATTCATGTTTACATGTTTTCTACATTAATCAGTGATTCAGTCTGATTAGCTACTAAAGTAACATCAGGAAACACTTGACCACTCAGTTATAATTACTATACACAGTTTCTCCACTACCTGTTATATGCATACCTAGAGTTGAGTTAAACATTCTGTGGAATACAAACAAGTGTATATATTCAGAAAAAGAGCTTAAAACTACTTTAAAGATCTAAGGAAAGCAAAGGAAAAAGGCAACTTGTGGCAAGCAAGTTTGTAGTGCCTATTACATTCAAATATTTCATTGAAGTTCAATAGTCTTTAACAAATACATGCTTATATAATACATCATGTTTTTCCACAGCTAGTAGCATAATATGCCCTTAATATGTTCACTCTGCTTCACAAAGGGCAAAAAAAACATCAATACAGGATTTAAAATGGCACAAGTCAATTCCTGTTAACTTTAACAAATATCAGTCAACACTTTGCCAAAAAATAAAATAAAAATCCTCTCCTAAATACACCACAGATGTTTCTACTTCAGCTGTAAAATCCCTGTGCAGATGCTATACTTAACAGCAGTATAAGAATAATAGTATTAGACTCATTTAATGCAGCTGTAAAAAAACTGAACATATAATATATACATTAAGTAAATAAATATTTTGACAGTTTCTTCCTTTTCTTTGATTATGTAAAGTCCTGCAAAAATATAATGGTCAAAATATATTATTAATATTCATAAAGTTATGCAAAAATATACCTACAGATTACAATAATGAAGCAATGTGTTATTGAATGCTGTCCGTCAGCCCAAGGTAATTTTTTTGGTAAAAATATGTGAACATTTAGTAACGTATATGTATAGCCTCATGATTTTAATCAAAATTAATGAAGGACAACACTAAAATAGGAAATTGGAGATAAATTAGCAAACAAAAACCTTAAGACAACTTTACTAAGCAAAATTAAACATTTTAACATGGAAAATTATATATTTCTGCAAAAATACTATGGAGGTACACTGAGGAATTTAAAGATATTACAAAAGCAATTTACTCTTTAAAATTAAAAGAATGTTTACAGCACTAGTGAGGTTAGATCTTCTGCAGTTATTTTAACAGATAAATAAAAGAGAAATCTCTTAACAACATGTAGATTAAAAAACAAAACAAAACAAAAAAACCCCAACCATTCCACTCCCCATCATGCTAGTCCTTTGTCTGAAAATGAAATCCTGGCCCCATAAAAGTCAATGGAATTTTTGTCACTGACTTCCAATGGGGCCAAGATTTCAATCTGAGAAAATAAATTTGTTTTCAATGCACTTCTTTTATGAAGACAGTTTTCAAAATTAGAACCACGATTAATTCATGTAATTTAAATAAGCATATCCAGTGTATCATAAATATACCTAAACTATTCTCCAAAAAGTTTTGGTCCTATTGCGCCATCCATTTTTAGGCTGAAATCCTTGTATTTCAGTATGAACTTCTTAAAGATGAATAGGACAGTACAGTCCTTTCATCACATTTTACATGTAATTTATTTGAAATTCATATTACACTAGAAAAAAAAATTATATCAAAGACTAGACATTGAAAACTATCTAAAAATGTTTGGTAAGTTTTTAGTGATTACTGAGACTTCTTTTATTGTCCTAATAAATTTAAAATATACTGATTGAAATCCTTGCCTGATTGAAATCAAAGGCAGAACTCCGATTACCTTCAATTGGACCAAGGTTTAACCCAGTATCTTCAGAAATTAAAAGAAATAAAGTAAATATTATTTATATATATTAACTATTATAACATCCATACTAGTAAAAACCTGACTAGCATTTCCATCATTAAAAAAAGAGTTATCTTCTCAAATGTGATAAAGTAACATATTACACTGCAAATGTAACACCTGACCAAACACTGAGTTTAGTGATTTTTTTTCTTTGTGCAGTTTTAAGTGGACCTAATAGAATATATCCATGATTTATTGATTTATCAAATATTTGATTGGCTTTCCTGTTTCAAAAGGCCATATTTCATATTTCTAATGTTAATTACAGAATTACTAAAACTTAACAGAAGATGTATAATTGAACATCCTCCATGGTACAGTACTTATTTTAATATCAGTCCTTATTTAAAAAATGGGTCAAATGCTATGCCAGTAGAAAACATTATTTTACTCCAAGTTACAAACTTTGGACCTTATCCTGCTTCCACTGAGGTCAATGACAAAACTCCCTTTGACTTATGTTACAGTAGAATCAAGCCCTAAAGCATGGATTTTTCAATCTCAGAGCAAGTCTACATTACAAAATTAAGTCGACCTAAGTTACGTCGACGTACAGCCACTGCAGTAGCTTTTGCATGTTCACGCTATGCTCCTCGTGTCAGTGGTGTGTCTCCTCACCAGGAGCACTTGCACCGATTTAACTGTCAGTGTAGGGCATTGTGGGACGGCTTCTGAAAGGCAGCAAGTTGATGCAAGCAATGCAGTGACTACACTACATCGACCTAAGTGCTGCATCTCTCATGGTGATGGAATTATTAAGTCAGTGCAGTGGGTGAGTTACATCAGTGGGAGCTACATGTTAGTCTAGATGTTTACAGAGTTAGGTCGATATAAACTGCCTTACATCGACCTAACTCTATAGTGTAGACCAGGGCTCAATCTTACTCACATAATTCCCGGAAAGCAGAACCATATTCAAATTATAAAAGGAATTACCTAGCTAAAATGTAGATATGTTAAAAGTACTAAATCGAGGAAAAACAAAAAATGTATTTGCTTTCCCTCTAAATCAGCATTAATTTTCTTCTTTATTTTTTGAGTACAATTCTTATTTTTATACAGCTATGTCACACCATTTCAAATGTTTCTTTCTAAAAGACAGTTTAATCTAAAAACAACAATAAATTGTCCTGCACTCCTTAAGTTTTCTTAAAATCAAAGTAGATTTAGAGTCCATATGGAAATTAACATATATTAGTTATTCCAACCAAAATTTCCAGTTGAACCTGCTAGTGAGCCAGGTTTGCTAATATGTAAGACTTTGTAGAGTCAACAATTACTCAAATTTGCACTTCTATCCTTATTAATGTAGACATATACTGTGTGTGACTGACTGAGAGAGAGACAGAGAAAAAATATAGAACAAGTCTGAAGATAAACAAAAGTAAAAATGCCACACTTTAGCCCACTTTAAGACATGGAAAAAGAGATATGCTTATGAAGACTCACAAAGGATGCTGTATATTAATTTATTTTATACAAATTATTAAGGGGCAATATTAAAGAAAAATAAATGAAAAACCAAAGAAGAAATCAAATGCTAAAGTTAGTGAAATAAACTTCAGAACTCAAACATAAATCAAAGACTATTTAAGTCAACCTCAAATTCCATTTCAAAAAGGACTTTGTCATTTTCAGTAACTCATATCCACCAAGTGAACAATCATACAGTATGTGGGCGTACCCTGCAGTTGCAGCTTTCTCAGCAACTGAGTTCTATGTTAAATTGTAACTCTACAAGATGTCTGATTATTTATTTATTTAATATTGAACCTTCAAAGCACTAGATTTATCAGAGGCAACAAAACCACACACCAGAGTGTGTTAGTAATATATTAAAGAAACAAGTATTTTTCCCCTCCACGCATTTCCACCTGCAAGTTAAAGCCAGTTTAACAGCCTGAAGACACCCTATAGTAAATGACTGCTTTGGCAATACTGACAATAGGAACAACTCATAAGCTTTTAACCAATGACAGAAAAAATTATTCAGTCTTCATTGTATCCAAAACAAACTGCTATTGATATCCACATTTTAGAATTAATTTAAAAATGTACTATTATAGTCAATAAAACTCCACTAATACTCAAAACTTCTAGGCAATTTCTTTCACACAAAACAGAACACACCATGCATGTTTCTATAAGCAATAATTAACATCTAAAGATCAAGATAATCCAATGTAAAAAGCAGTATCCATCTGCAAATTAACCTAAATAACATACTTTGAATTACACTACCAATGAGTGACTACTATAGAAAGTCCAATAGGTTTTTACATTTCTACCCAGCCCTAAGATGGCAGCATTCATGCACAACTAAAATAAAGAATTATATCTTCCTATTCTCATTGTTTACTGTTTATTCCAGCAACATAATACAAAATTTGAATAAAATAAATACATAAATAAATACATAGGTGATGAAGTTGGCCATCAAATATTTTAAGTTCTTAGTATGAAAATTAATAAGAATGAAAAAGTGTTGACATTTTTAAAACTACATATATTAGAGTTTCTCTGTGCTTCTATTTCTTAAGTATATACTGTAATTCCTCAGACTGATGTCCTGCTGCACCAAATTATGCCCAGAAAAATAGCTTTCACAACAACGTTAAATTGAGACACTGAAATTCCAAATAATCTTAATTTCTTTGCATTTCATTTTCCTCTTTAAAAACAAACAAACAAACAAAAATTACTAAAGCACAACTGAACAACATTAAAACAGGTGCAACACCATACAATGTTAAAACAGGTAACTTGGTGATAATGCTGTGACAAACTTGTTTTAGCAAACACCTTTCAAATGGTAAACAAGTCATTTCATACATCAAAGTCAGAGCTTTGTGTTCTCTTTCAAAATTAGGAAAAACAAGTATTTTTTTTACTCTTACCTGTGTATAGTCAAAATCGGAAAGCGGAGCTATACTCTTGATGTAGTCCATTCGAAACTGGTTTTCCGGATTGGCCAGTGGAACTGGGGGTATTAAAGTGCCCATTGCTGAAACTATAGTCTAGAATTGGATAAAACAAAAACAGACACATTAATCTGGTTAATCTAAAATACAGGATCAATATAAGATAATCCAATCTGATCAGCAAAATGGGATTTCTCTACACAATCCTAGAGAGCATAATACTTTTGGCTTCCAGTGTACAGAAGCATTTAAGAATAGTATAAAATGGGTTCTTACCACAATCGCATCTTTAACATTTTTCCGAATATCCAGTATTTTCTGTTTCTTTTCTCTGAATTAAAACAGAATTAACGATTTAACTTCTCTCTCAAACCAATTCATTTAAGTTACATTCAGAATTTTTTACTGACTGCTTATTTGTTATTTAACCTTTATGACAAACTGACTGAAAAGAACAGTAAGATTATTTTCCATCCATCACTTTTTCATATTCTATAAAAAAAAACAGTGAAAATAGATCTCTGCCAATTTTGTCACGTTAGATAGTCATAACCACATCTGCAAAGCTTTCCTGGTGGGATTGGAAGTCATTCCTTCATTTCTATAGCATGCTAAATCTATTCCCCTACAATTTAGAACGTATATTGTATAGTTAAAAACCTTATATATCTAAAATTAGCACACAATTAATATTAAATACTGGCAATCAGTTTTTCAGAGAGAAATCATGTAACCCAAGAATACATGATGATTACATTCATGCAAATTGGTTTCAGTTTTGTGCTAACCACCACCAGAAAAACCGCAGCAGCCCCGTCATCCTGTGTATGAATTGATATATCTCTCTATATTACACACAGATACAATATTAGTTATTTGCTGCTATGCAAAAAGTAGTCGCCATGTTGTTGCTACACAGGGGCCTGTCAAGCGCTGCAGTAGCAACAGTGTAAAATACAGTAGAGGGGCAGGAGCAGAAAATACAAATATATAATAGTAGTAATTCCTTGCATTTTTCTTTTTTTGCAAGCCAGTGTCAAACCGCCAACACACACACATATAGGGTGGAGGAAAGAGAAATTACCCTGTGTGTTGTGTGTTAATATGTTTCAAATGTATATTTACAAATAGAAGACACAAAGTATCAATAATTCTTACTCTGAATTAAATCCATTGACATGCAGAATCCTCATTTGTTTCACAATAGTGCTTTTTCCTGACTCACCAGCTCCTGGAAGAAAAAGACAGAACACTGCCATGTATGTACGGTTTTTTTGGTGACATGTTAACAGCATCTCCCACCTCCAACAGCATTTATATATGTGTATCCATGTGGCTCCCACACACAGCTCAATCTGTGCACTTTTCACATACTGCTCAATACAATTGCCTGCATTCTTTGTATCTAACACACACTCTCTCTCACACACACATTAATCACATAGCTTCTCCGTTATACCCCTACCATGGGGGAGCGCAGGCAACTGCACCCTCATCCCCCCCCCCCGCTTCCTTACCCAGCAGAAGCAAACGATGTGTGGCTTTATAAGCCAGTCTCTCTTTCTGCAACTGCTTCTCTATTTTTTTGTTGGCTTCTCGCTGCGCTTTCTCATCGATACGCTGATCCTCTGTTTTGCTGTTGCCCAAACACCCCATTGCTGCCGCTTAGGATGGATGTCAAATTGTGCTCTTTCTATAGAGATTTATTTACAGGAAATATGTAAGAGATGATAGGTATTTATATCCCTGCGACGGTTTCTCTTCTCTTTCTTCCCCCGGTCGCTCAAATAAAATGGTCTCTGGTCGCTTTCTGATCAAACACAGTTTGATTTTTCTCCCCCAAAGAGGTACAAGAAGCGGCGGGGAGAGAGAAAACGTTTTTAAGATGAAAAAAAAAATCTGTACAAAAATGTCTAACACACAACGAAAGCGAGAAGAGCTCCTCCTGGAAACCAGCCTAACGCTGCTCTCCTCTCTCCCTCCCCTCCACACACACAATCCCTATATTTCTCTGTAAAGGTCTATTTTTGTCTTTCTGTGCTCAGCACTGCCTCTTTCTGTGAGACCAGGAAACAGTCAAACTACAAACCCCACACAAGTCAAAGAGAGAAGGAAAGAGGTAAAAGCTGGATGTACCTGGATCGTGTTGGATTTGTCCTGCAAGCTGCCAATTTTTGACCTGGAAAAGTCCCAAATTGTGTCACAGAAATAGAGTTCTAGACTTAGGCTCCTACTTAAATTAATAATAATAAATAATAATAATAATAAATCTAGATCCTGATGAATCCCAGAGAGCATGATTTCTGCAAAAACCCTGAGCCAGCATCTGGATCCTGCCAAATTTTGGCCCCAAGATGCCAAATTCTGATGTCTCCATAGAGAACAAGTCTAGCCATGCCTATGGTACCAAATACATTCTGGATTTTGGTACATCAGACCTACAAAAACCCAGATCTCGTTCACGGATCCTACCCCATCAGTTTAATTTTTGGCTTTCAACCCCTCCCCCACACCAAAATTCCTTGGCATTCATAGAGAACAAGCATAACTTACTGTACAAAAAAAATCTGGATTCTGATGCATCCCAGTACATGAGTGCCACAAAAATCCAGCTCCTGCTCCTGGATGTTGGCAATTTTTGGCCCTAAACTCCAAATTCTACAGTCTAAGCAGATAACAAGGGTAGCCATCCCTCCTACTACACTGGAGAGAATCTGGCTCCCAGTGCACCCCAGCCCCCCGATAGCACTGGAAAACATGTATCTGGTTTCTTCTACACCTGCCAATTTTTAACCCTATTCTCCCCAAATCTGCTGTCTAAATAAAGAAAAAAAATTTAGCAGTTTCTTAATGCCCCCCCAAATTCAGATTGTTGTGAACTGGCACAGCAGCACCACAAAAACAAATATCCAGCACCTGGATTCAGGTAGTTTTTCTTTGGTTGTTGTTCTTTCTCTTTCTTTTTTTAAATTTAAATCCTCAAAATCCTACCAGCTAAATAAAGACATGCAGCTGTCCCAATTCTACTGCATAATCCAGAATCCAGTGTATCCCCTATTCAGTACCATGGCAAGGACACATAATATCCGGTATCTGGAGCCCAGTGAAACAGTGTTTTGGGTTGGCCCCAAACTGTATCATCAAAACAGACAACCAGTGCCCTGTGGCGGCTCCTAGTTGGCTAGCAAAACCCAGTCCTCACATCTCAGTGCAAGAGCAATACGTGCACAAAGGGCACCTGGGTCTTGCAGAATCCAACAATATTTTGGCCACAAACCTCTAAATTCTAGTCTATACATAGTGACCAAGCATAGCTTCTCTTAGTCTACTAAAAAAAAAAAAAAAAAAATCTAGTCTCTGAGCCATCGCAGCATATGAGCACTTAATAAAAAAAAAATCCAAACATGGACCCAGATCCAACAAGGTATACCCCCATTTTTTCACCTATGTTCCCAAAATTATAATTTCTAGGTAGACAGCAAGAATCACCATTCATTTACATTTACAGTCCTTAACTGGATTTTTCAAGTGCTCTTGTGTAAGGATGGATCAGGGACCAGCTTCTGATACAGTGAAGTAGGAGCAGCTATACTCGGGGTAAACTCCTGGCCTTACTGAAGTCAATGGGATTTTGCTATTTACTTCAATAGGGATTTAACCCTTGGTCTTTATTTAACAGATTGTAGGTGTTTGTGACCAAAAAAAGAGGCCCATGTGGGTTTTTGGATTGCTCTTTCACTGAGATGTCAGAGCCTGGAATTTTTGGATCAAGTAGAAGCAGCAACGTGAGTTGTATATTTTGACAGTACAATTTGGGAACTAGGGGCCAAAAAAATGGCAGGATCCAGCAGGTTCCAGTGCCGAGTACGTGTCTTTGCAATCCAGTTGAGCAGGAATGTATCGAAGTCTGGAGTTTTGCAGCGGAACTTGAGAAGCTGCTCTTCTCTATTTAGTCTGTTGAACATTTGAGTTTGGGATTTACAAATAAAAAGGGTTAGCTGGATAAAAGTGCCAGATAAATGTTTTTGCAGTGCTGCTGCATTACAGGGTCTGCTGCATTCTGAAAGTTGTTACTTTCCCCCCCATTCCTTAGAAAGTTGAATTTGGGAGATTAGGGTTAAAAACTGGAAAGGCCTAGCAAGAACCAGATCAGTATTTTTCCAGTGCTATTAGGTCAGAAAGCATATAGATCCAGATTTTTCAAGTGAAATAGGAGCAACTTTTGTTTTTTATTTAGATGATACAGTTTAAATTTGGGACCCAAAACTGTCGAGACCCAAACGAAGTCAAGGGCAGGATTTTTTAGGCTTTCTTGCGCGGGGATGCATTACAAACCAGAATATTGTCGTGCAGTAGCAGTAACTATACCTGTTCTCTATTAATGCCATGGAATTTTGGAGTGAAGACCAAAACCTGTATGGATTTGGAAGGATCCATGTGGCAGAACTGGGTTTTTGTGACATTTATGTATTATGTGCCAGGATCCAGGCTTTTTTTGGTGCAGAAGGAGTAACTAGACTTGTTCTCTATTCAGGCATCAGAATTTGGGACCAAAAGTTGTCTGGATCCAGTTGCCAAATCTGGGTTTTTACAATACCCCTAGTTCCGGTATGTATTGGTGTCTGGAATTATTTGGGGCAGTCGGATCAGGAAGACTTGCTCTCTGTTTTGATGACACAGAAGACTCTGCCAAAAATAGTCAGGATCCAGGTAGATCCAGCTTTTACCTTTTTCCAAAGGGGAGAGGGTTCCTTATTTCCTTTCTGTCCTTCCCCAACCCTATGACCCTCCCTGATCACTTCCTCTTGAAAAGGGATCACTTAATTTGGGAATAACACACACATATGAAACCTGTGAACAGAAAGTATAGAATCGTGTTTGACTGCAATTATAATCCAGTCTCTTTCTCAGCACAAACTCAGTACTGCCTCTCTAGCCACAGTCAAACTACAGAACCCTGCAAGTAGAAGTAAATATATCCGGTCGCCTATTGTTTTGGAGAGAGATCACAACTTTGCACACACACACACAGAAATAAACCTATTATTTGAAAGTAATCTAATTATAATCAAATCTCTTTCTTTAGACTGCCCAATTTCAGCAATGCCTCCATATCAGACCAAGAAATAGACACTAGAACAAAACACTCACAAGGGTAATGCTAAACCCCATACAAGAGAAGAGAGATACCTCCTACTCCCCCTGCCCATGCCCTTCTCTACAGCCTGGTCCTCCTGAGATGGGATCACAACGTGTGGTTGTTATTATTGTTTTTAAAGACACTCACACATTCAACCTATGCACTGAAATATATGTTTGTGTGAGTGCAATCATAATTCAACTTCTCCCTCTGTGCTGTGGACAAACTCGGTTTGCCTCACTGTGAAACCAGGAAACAGTACACACCCTTCAAGTGAAGAGAGAGCAACTAATTTATTTCCTGCTCTCCCTCTCTCTCAGACACACTCTCTCCCTACTCTAGATCCTGTTTCTCCTGAGAAGGAAGCATATAAATTTGAGACACAAACTCAGATGGAAGCTGTGTCTGTGAATAAATGTGTGTGTGAGTTTGTGTGAGCATTGCTTCTCTCCGCGTGAGAACGAGAACCAGACCCCTCAACGCACACTTTTTCACTCCCATTCCGCTTGCATTTTGAACGGGAGAAAGTGTCTATAAACAAGAAGAAATGGGGAGGATTAACAGAGAAATCACACGCAGATGGCCCAGGTTAGTGCTCTCGGGCTCCTCCTCCCCCCTCCCAGGGCGGGCGTCATGTAGCCCCGGCAGCTTGTACTGCGGCTGCTTTTACTGCAAACTTCAGGTGGTTCTAAAAGCTGCCGATTCCTGGCATCCAGTACCAGCAGCCTCCCTTCGCATAGTCACCGCTGTAGATTTCAATCTGACTTCGTAGAAAGAGCAAGAATAAAAAAAGCCGGAGTGGAGCAACCAGAGGACAGGCTCTTCCTGCCTGCAAAGACGCCTTCACTTTCACAAATCTCTCTCTCAGCACTGCCACTATCCTCCAGCGCAGGCACTGCGCCATCCGAGGGACGCTGTCAGAGAGGAATCACTCACACACCTCTCTGCTGAACTCCTAATGCACCTACCAACTTCAAGCACACACGCACTCAGATAAATTGAACTCTCAGCTGTACATATTGTTCTTAATCCCCCTACAAACAGGGGACTGACGGGGAAGAATACTCTAACCCTGGATAGGTAGTCAAGAA